CAAAGTTATTATTGGTCAGAATCAGCATGATAAGTTCACGGAGATGTGATTTAGATGGGGTTTTATATATATATATATATATATATATATATATACTTATACTTATATATATATATAGTATATATGCCTATATAAATACATATATATATGTATACATATAGATGTTTTATTTTATTGTTGTATGTATATGTATAACATTGTTTTGAAATTGCTCTGATAACAATAACGTTAATTTTACATTTTAAAGTTTTACCGCCAAAATGGCAGCCATCTTGGAATTTTTTGTGATGACGTCGTCATTCCGATTAAATTTTTTAACGAGAGTGAAGAGTAACTGTTTAGCCAAGTTCTTGTTACATTTGATATACATAGCGTATGTAAAAGGGACTAAAAAAGTGACATTTATTTCCCCTACCCCCATCTTAATTAGTCCAAAATAGGATATTTTATGTCAAAATTTCAAAGTGCTATAAAAAAAATTGCCCAAGCTCTAAGAATAAGGATTTTTTCTGAGACACTATATGATATACTGATTCAGAAAAACCAAAAATAAATTTTCCTTTACTTTTTTTCCCGCTAATTTTCTACTGCACACAGGCTATGACGGATGTTGTGAAATACATAAAAAAAAAAAAGATATATAAGCCTATTTAAACTAAACATGTGTTATGAATACACAGAGTACAGTATGCTTATCATAGAAACCACGTAATCTAATTTATGAAACGTAGCAGGCTCGGCACCTTGACCTTTAATGATTAGCGCCAAAATTCACTACAAACACGTAAAATAATAATAATGAAATAATATATTCACCTAAATTATTAATATTACTAACATATATTGTACATTGTACTATTAATACAGGCCATTTTAGGTAGGCTTTCTTCATACAGGCTTCTACGAGTGGATGACTTGTTAAGGAGCAGCATATCAAGTTGCCCCACCCCAGTACCACCTGATTAAAATTGAAGGAAAATCAACCAATAGCTATAGTTTAAAAAAATGTAACAATCCTAAGTGTCCGGCAGTATATAGTCCTGTGATCTGCAAGGTCTCTACCAACGTCACATCAATGGGCGGGTTCTGGTGATTCGGTATTAAAATCGGCTTGGATTGGTCAAAGCCTGGATCCAGAAAATGTATTTAAGGCCTGATATAACACATTAAGCCACACTTCACGAAATTGAAGAGGAGGCAGTCATGAGATTCGTAAGTTGTACAATTTTATATTATTAAAATTTACAGATACTATTATAGTATAATATCATGGAGGTATATGACATAGAAAAAAACTAGAATATACTTTTAAATTTGGTTTTACAACCCATAACACGTTATATTTTCATTGCGGATTTTTTGCGCTCGGTACGGACTCCAAAAGTATAAGTATGCATTTTCTTTTAGTTTTATAGCGTATGTGGATTTTATAAGTGAGCAATGACGATATAACGTGTTCCATACTGGTCACTTATATCATTTATTAGCTTCTTCCATTTCTCTCTGCTCTGCCCATTGCTCGTTTTTGTGTTTGTTTATAGCATAGAGGAAATAGTTCTATTTTCTCTATGTTTATAGTCAAGGCCAATGTCTTTTAATTGTTTCTGCATCACAGTGAGCCAATTAAGTTTCTGTCGTCCTACTTTCTTTTTAATCTTTCGTTCGGCTTCGGCTAGTTCTTGTTTGATGATCGGTGTTGGTGTGTGTGGTGACAATCGTGTCATGTGCATCAACCATCGTTGTATGTTGGCATCGATGACCTTGGACCATGAAGTAGCCCTGTTATGTTTCTTCCACTTTGTTGAGAGGAGTTTATTTCTAAATTATTGTCATCTATGATAGTTGATGCAAAAGTTTTCGATGTATTACTTTTTGTAAAGATATTACTCCCTAATAACTCCTCATTAATAGTGAACTGAACGAGTCACTCTCGTTAAATGTTTTCAATACATTTTTTATATAAGCGCTAAGACTATACTGTACTTGCATTTTTTCGCTTGTTAGACTTTACTTATTTTAATAAAGAATGTTGGCTATGGATAGGTACCATGTTTGTTGTCCTACAGTAGTCCCTATGGTATATGTATTGGTTGTTTTATATATAGTACCTTCTTAATATATATTGTACCTTCTTTGGTACCTTCGAACCCACTAACACTCGACACATGTTTGTTCAAAATAATTTAACTAATAATAACGATCTATGGTCGAGAACGTTTTCTAAATGATCTGTTCTTCCGAGATTTACTCTACTCATTCTATAAAAACCTATATTGACCGAATAAATATTAACAAATACACACTTTTATGCCTTTTTTTGGCTTTTCCTCATTGCCATAATGAGAGTTGATTTTGATTATAAAAAACTTCATTATGACATGGAAAACAAAAATAAATGAGACTCAAACAAGGGCTGTAACGGGTAATACAGCAATTATACTAGATTTACTAAGTCGGTTTGTACAACAGAACATGGGGCTTTTCCTAATTGGTATGATTGCTATACACCTTTTTTAAATATAAGAACCAGTAAAATTTTGCCCAGGCTCAGTGTTCTTAGTTTTTGGCTGATTTCAGGCTCAAAATGTTCTTATTTTGTTCTTATTTTACACACTTTTATCTGAATGTAGGTATAAATCGCCCTGGAAAAAATTGCCTTTAAAAAAAAGGCCTGGAAAAAATGACCCGAGAAAAAAGGCTGTACTAAAAATAGCCCCAACTGACAGGAGGTAAACCTACTGTACTGTATTTATTATAGAGAATATTATGTAATCACACCTACTGAACTTAAGGTACAAATAGGCCTATAAGTTTTTTGTTTTGTTTTGTTTTTTTTTTTACATTTTACCTGAGCCTCAGTTTGTTCTTATTTTGTTCTTAATTTTTAAGCAATTTCAGCCTCATTGTTCTTATAAAAAAAAGTGTAATGAGAAATGAATTTTGGATTGCAACAACAAAAAGAAAAATCGTTAAAAAGTAAAAAAGTAAAAAAAAATGGAAAAGCAAAATACTTATAGTACCGTACTAAAAGAAATTATGAAGCTTAAAAAAACGATGAAAACCAAGTTTACAACTACCACGATGTTAATGAGATTCGAACTATTGCTGCAATGGTAATAGCGACGTAGTTATTTTCCGTTCACTGCGATACAGTGACTGAAAAGCAAAAATTGCTCATGCATATCACGGTAGTTTTGAGTTTAACTTAGCTGCAACTGGTTGAAGCGCTTTAAAAAAATTGAGTATAGGCCTATATACTTTAATCAACTTTCCCAAAAAATCTTTAAATGGTCCTCATATCCACACCCTACAGCGGATCGTCACCAAATTTGATCATTTCTTATATTTGACCATGAAGAACTATTCTGCAAATTTCATTTTTATTTATTTATAATTGGAACGTAAGCAATTTAAATGTCTTTCAAACTTACACCCTAACAGT